AAGGGGAAAACAACAAAAATAAAATCATGGCCCTGTTGTCTTGTATGACTTTCCCACACCATGTTTAATTTGCTGTTATGGTGTAATTTTGAATATAAACTCACAAGTTCTTGCTCGTCCGACAAAGGTACTTCTGCAACTTGTGATGTAGCCGTTTTATGCTCCTTCACCGCAACAGAAACTCCGTTCTCTCTGCGGCTTCTACCCAGCCATTCCTCAACCTGCAAACAGGCATTTGTGCACTTTTAATGATGGGTGTCACAAATATTAAAAATGTATAAGCATATGTGAGGCACAAATTCTTGAGGCATGGGAAGAAAAAAATGGACACTCACGGTCATGTTTGTGACGACTCCGGGCCGCTGAAGTAGCTTCAGCATAATTATGGCCTCAAGGTAGTAGAGGACGAGCAAACGTTCATTTTTTGTAAGGCTGTCCCCTGTGACTGCTCCTGGACCCTGCAGTTTTACCATGACCGCCAGGAAATCTTTAAAGGCGGCATCCAAAACTACCAGGCAGTCACTTGGCAGGAGGTCTTTCCCATAACCGAGGAGCCTAGGGAAACAATATGTCACGAGTTCTATCCTGTATTCCAGTTTCCAATGTGCAAATATCATATATAAGAAAAAAGAAATGCTGACCTTTTTTGTGTGACCTCCTTGTTGACTTTTTTGGACATACCAGAGTGTATGCCATCCAGAGGATCCATGAAGCTCTTACAATCCTCATAAAGAACGGGATCTTTAAAGCGCATGCCCGTAGATGTGATGATGTATTTCATGAACCTTAAAAGGAGAGAAAGAAAAGGTTGTTACGGTCAGAACACAGCTTACTCAGTAATTAATAGGTAACATTTACATGCCATATTTGTAATCTTCCACACCACTGACCTCTTGAGACTCTTCCAGTAGTTCAGCACGGTCTGTTTTGAGAGCTTGGTGTTTGTTAAAACATTGAAGTACTCTCGTACTTTCTCCACCTCCCGTACAAACCTTAGGTTGGGCTCGCTGGGGTCCACGTAGTACATGAACCTGGACACGGCATCCACCTGTAAGTACACATTTCACATTAAAATGTGCAGGACTGCATATAAAAGACTTTAAAATATGACCACAACACCAAATACATTTTTTTCTATTTATTTATTCCTTCACTGATTTAATTCACTTACCTCTTGTTTGCTGTTCTTGTTCCCCAAGTCTGCATGTAGGTACTCATTAAATCCCTTAAGAAGGGGGTGGCAAATTGAGTGCTTTTCATACAGGCCTTTTTTGACCATCTCCACCCTCACTGAAGAGGTCCACCTCGGTCCCTCAGTGCTGAAATCAAATAAAACAGGTGGTCAAATGATTGTGCATGTTCAAGAGAAATCATATCCAGTGTTTACATATAGTCTATGTGAATGCTAACATGAAACTCTACCTCTGAAAGTACTCTCCAGAGCTCTCCTCAGATGATGGCTCATCAGCTAACTCTGCTGGA